CAAAAGATCGTTTTTTTTTTTTTTTTTTTTTTTTTCTTGGTGAACGTAAAATGCTCTGAAGAATAATAATTTTTTTTTTTTTTGGTACTTTTTGATAAATAGAGTATGCCCAAGTTTATTTATTCATGGAAGCTATCAGTATCGGGAAGGTATGCCTAAAAAAAAATTTTAAAAGGGACTATTATCAAGTCTTTTTTTTTCTTATGAAATTGTTCATATGTCGTTGATTGTAAATACATAATTTTGGCGGTCAACTCAACTTTACGGAGACGATAAACAACAATAATGATAATAAATTAATAATCGTACGCATAATAAGATACTTTCAAGCCTTACAGTATACAATGCAATGCATGTACAGTATTTTTGCGTTATATTATACATAGGAAAATAATATATATAGAGAGACGTAAGAAATATATTATAGACTTGAATTACCACTCACTTTTTTTTTAAAACAACGTCACAAATGCATACTTATAGAGATACTGAAATGTACAGTTAGGCGCGCAAAGTCATATGTATTTTATACTAAAGCTGGAAGTTCTGAGAAACAAGCGCTTATTATTATTTTTTTTTTTTTCCAACTTTTTAACTAAAACCCGTTTATATGTGTACTCTTTGGCTTGCGAATCCAACAAACGATTTTACAATGCATCGTCTTGAAAAATTTGCTTCTTTTTTTCCAATTTCTTTACTAATTTCGTTTGTTGAAAACGTATGGACTAATAAATGTAGATGTATATACAAGGCAAAAAAATACAATAGCATATTAAATGGTATAATATCGATAATAAAATTACAGCAGATATATGAGATGGTTTCTCAGATCTTTTTATTCTGCTGTACGTAGGTTTTTTTTCTGTAAATATCACATACCTTAACACATCTCTGTACTGTTCTTAATATGTAAAAACTTTCTTTTAATGAAAATTTCATTTGCCAATAAAAGTGATGGTTTTAAACAAAAAGTACAACTTGGACAAGAAAACAAAATGTGAAGAATACTTTTTTCGACTCTCAAGAACAGACAGAGAAGTTTCGTTATAGCTCCACAGATTATTCACAACATTCTCCCATCTGGTATCAAAAATCTGAAAATTGGCCAAAAGTGCGGTGCAAATCGTGCTATAAAAAATAATATGAGATGCAATAATTAATAAAAAAAAAAAAAAAAAAAACAAATAGCACTTTGTTCATTCTACTCGCAAGAAACTGGAGGGTTGAACTAGTGATAAATTGGTTATTCCTAAACAAAACTATATACGTATATACGTCCTGAAATATATGTATAACAGACTAAAATTATGTATATAAGAAAGAGTTTTAAAAAGAAAAGAGACGTGTGAGCGTGGGCCTAGTGTATAAATTGTAACTACGCCTATAAATATATAGTATATTATGTTCTTCGCACTCGAATCTTTCGTTCTCCCTTCGAATTTCGCCTAATGATAAAAGTAGAAAAAGAAGAAGCGGCAGCAGATAATATAATCGATGAAAATTCGAAGCAAGTAAAAGAGTAATAAGTGCGAAGCTAAGTGTGTTTATGTATAAGATATAGCTATACAGTGTATATGATAATAACGTATATGAAAGGGCAAAAAAAGAACAAAATACTGGGGAGCTCTATGTATACATATACGTATGTATTTATGGAATCGAAATCAACTTGTTGCGTTAGCATTTGCTTTTTGTCTGCCAACCTCTCTCGTCTCTGTAACCCAGTAGGCGTTTTTGATCAGCACCCATTCTGTGATGTTCTGCGGACATAATTACGGAGTTGAAACGACCCGCTGGCACATATAGTAAATATATATACCTCACATATTTAGGTTCATTATTTAAGTATATCATTATGTTATATGCACTTGCTCATGTATTCTATACATCATCCCTGCGTCTGCGCACACACGCATTACTTCTTCCAACATTACCATACGAATTTCATGAGAATGCAGATGAATGATGGATTGTTAAAAACCACTTTTTTTGTTTACATTATAGAAAAGGATGGGTATTTAGTGGGTAAAGGCCAAAATTCTTTCAACAGATTGAATCGTATCTGAAAATCGTCATGTCGAGACGGAAGACTCACCGCGTTCTCGCGCCGATCGAAGACCGGCATACTGACCGACGTCATGAGCCGGTACTTGTACATGTCACCGGCGAGGTTGGGATTCTTCTTGGTCCTCTTGACGTACTGCTCGAGCTCCTTGGGCAGGTTCCTGAGCTTCTTGTTCCTGCGGTAGATCCAGTAGCGCTCCTTCTGGTCGTTGCGCTCCTTCTTGTCCCAGAGCCAGTCTGTGATCTTCGGATCGGCAATGTCCGCGTAAACCGGCGTCCACACTGTCGGGTGGGTCGTCAGGTTGAGCACCAGGGGCCGAGCCATCACCGATATGTAATTCAAGACCTATCCACACGATAATCACGGCCATATGCAACACTGCCACCCGTTCGTACTTGTGCCTATTCTTTTGATGGTACCAACCTGTTCCCTGACCTCGGCGAGGGTCGACAGGTGGACAAAGTAGCCGCGATTAGCGCAGGCCATCCACCTCGAGTCCCTGACGTCGGCGACCTCCCTGCCGATGAGATACGTGAATATCCGCACCGGCATGTCCGCCCTGTCCGGGTTCTCTGGACTGTCGGCCCAATTGAAGCGCTGAAAGATCTCCTTGTAATTGTCCGGCACCCCGTCCGTGACGAGCATGATGGCCTGGTTACAACAAGCACCCCGGCGCGTCTCCCTGAACTCCTGGAGCAGCTCGAACGCGTACGTGAGGATCATCGAGAAGTTGGCTATCCTCTCGGTGTTCATCTCCGCTATACCGATCTTCAGCTCCCGGATGTTAGCCAGGTTGGCCTGGACCAGGCTGTCCTCGAAACAAGGCACCGCCTGCCCAACCGATCCAAAGTATAAATATATACGCACCTATTTGTTTGTTTGTTTTACATGGGGGTACAAATATATGTACATTGGATAACGCACCTGCTCGGTGATGTTGGAAAACTTGACGATGTTGACGTAGTCGTTGTTGCCGAGGGTGTCGAGTATGTTGTTGACGACGTGCCGGGCAATCTCCTTGCGCATGCCGGTCATGCTGCCCGAAGTGTCGACGAGGATGAGAACGTCTTTGGGACTGTTGGCAGCCTCGATGTACCAGCTCCGTGTCCGGCAGTCGAAGAGATCCGGGTCGTGGGGATTGCTGCCGTTGGGCTTCCAGTGCAGGGCCGGGTAGTGCCGCATGAAACCGGTCGAGCTGCCAAAGTACTGCCAGGAGAGGGACGGGTCCTGTTTGTAGTTGTACTTGAAGGTGTTGTCGAGCTCCTCGGACCACCTGATGGCCCGTAGGGTCTCCTTGGCTCGGCCGTAGACTGTAGTGGGCACGTGGACCGCCGAGTAATTGAGATTGACGTCGCCGCCAAAGTGCTCGCTGTAGCTCGTCGTCACTTGCGAGTAGTTCTTCGCGTCCTTGTACGTGTAGCTCTCGTCAATGGGCTGCTCGCGCTCGCTCTCGATCAGCGAGGACGCGAGGGCCGAGGACTCGGCCACATCCATTATGCGCTGGATCGCGTCCACCTTCGACCTCATCATCACCTCGATGTGGCTGGCTATCGTCTCGACCAGGCTCTTGCCGACTATCAGCTTTATTTCCACGTCTTTGTAGTTCTCGTGGAACTTGTCGATCTGCGTGACGTACTTGCCGAGCTGCTGCAGCTCGAAGCCCAGTTTTTCCGACCACGTTTTCACGCTTCCATTCATGGGAAAAGGAAAAAATATATACGTCATTGGGTGCTCGAAAAATCGGGGTCAGAGGTCTAATGAAGATTTTATCCGCGTTTATTTTAGCGCGTGCACGGCGGTACTCGGCTCTTTAATTTTCGTCGTTTAAAAGAGCTTTATTGTTGTTTCGGTTGTGTTGTGTATATGCGTATATTGTAATATATACGTGTATATTACATGTAGCGAGCGACGATTTTTCATGGGAAAAACCGGGACGCTCTCAAACGAGGACTACTTGTTTTATGATTCGCGTCGTTAAACCAATTTCCCCCCCCCCCAACACGTTGTTGGCTCTGAAATAATTGCTTCCCAGTGCGTCAAGCTTTACCTTTTCGTAAATTGTACACGATTAATTCTAGTTTACCAATGAAATGGTTTTAAATTCAGATCGGCTTTGTTTTGCTTCGTATATTAAAATTTAATGTATAAGTGAATTGCAACCCCCCCCCCATCATCTTACTTAGCAATAAGAAGTATTTTATTTTTTATTTTTCAATCTGCGCTGCTACTTAACTTACAGTTGTGAAATTCAAATGAAAATTTTTGGGTGCAATTTAAACGATACACAATAGCCATGCTTTTGTGCCTCCACGCATTATTTATACATTGTGGTAGCCACGTGTTTGCACTAAGACTTTTACTTGGAATTTTTTTTTTCTTGAACATCAATGCAGTCGTTTGATTTTACTCGCTTTTGCTCAAAAGTTTCAATACTATATTTAAACGTAAAGTACTGCCGATTTCTTCGATAAAATTCAAGTAAGAGAAAATTTTTGAAATGTAACGCGGTGAGGAAAAAAAAAGAAAAAAAAAAAAAAAAGGAACAGCGGGACGACAAATCTAAACACTCAAAAGTACATCAGCTGCGACAACGCGTATACACATGCATACATATAGGTACAGCAAGCAACACATCGGGGGGTGAAAAGAGACGAGGGTGTCGTATAACACACGCGCTGCGGAGTATATGTGTATAGCGCTATAATCCTTGCACGCAAAGTCCCGGTAACACAAAGACCTACATTTGCCTATCTCTCTTTCTCTCTCTGGGCAGTACCTATAGGTATATATGTAACACATGTGTATTAGGACCATGTTTTTTTTCTTGGTGAACGTAAAATGCTCTGATACATACGATATTAAAACGAAAATTTTCGGCCAATAAAACATAAAGTTGAAGTAAAGGAAAAATTTTAGCAGTAATAATAATAATAACAATAATAATAATAAAAAAGCATGATTTCGAAATTAAAAATTACGATAATGGGATATTTTGTGTGTTTACGGGTTTCTCATTGACGACCTGTAGTGTTTGTTTATGGAGTGTTTGAGCTGTTTCGTCCTTATGCTTAATTTGTGTGCACCTTTGCGGAGTGATCTGCAATAAAATTTTCGTTCTCTTTCCTATTTCAAAAAGAATCCAATTTTCAAAGAATAAAGTAAAATAAACAACAACACAAAAGCCATTTTTCGTTTTCTTTTTTTTTTTTTTTTTTTTTTTTTTGACGCAATAACAATATGTATGATAAACAAAACCAAAATATATGAAGTAGGATTGGAGTGCTGATACATATGTACAACATATACATGTATTTTTTCTTTCGTTTTATTCAAGCAATGATACTCACTTGCAGTACAGCCAGTCTGGATGCACTCGCCAGTTTTTACCTTCGAAATATTTTTCTGGAGCCTCGCCCTCTACAAAAATTGACATGTTTACGAAATTCATGAGTATACAGCGGCAAATGTCATAACTTTTATTTTTTCCTTCAAAATTTTCACTCACTGTCGAAATTCGCCCGACGAACATCTTTCGGCGCGTGAACGCGATAAGTGGCGTCCTTGTTGTTGTCCTTGTACAATGGCAAACTAACGACGACTGTGAAAGGCGTGTTCGGAATTCGTGCTGAGTCGTACTTCCTCTTGAGCTTTCCAACGCGTTTCTGAAAGGAAAAAAAAAAAATTTTATTTTATTTTGGAAGAAATCTAGATTTAAAAAAACATCAACACTTGGAAATTCGACTCACCATGCCTTCGTAATGGTACTTGGTGTACAAGTACACGTCACTGTGGTCCTTTTGATTGATGACGTCGTTGCGGAACTGCAAAAGCGGCTCGCTGAAATTCCTCGGGAAGTCGTCACCTTCCACAAGCTCGACCTCTGCCATGTCCACGCTGTTGTAAGCGGGTTTTAAAATTCCCTGAAACTAATAGAAAAAA